ACTTGGGGGGCAGATGAGGTCTTGCCAACTGGAGTGAGGCTCAGTGCCTTCCCATCGGCCCTGCTGGGTGCCCTGGGAGGCCATGTCACCCCTCAGCCCCGTCCCCTGTGGGACGAAGGTCCTGACGCCCCGATTCTTACGGGTGATGGTGAGCAAGCAAGGAGCTGGGCAGGGCAGGGTGCTGGGTGCTGTGTCCGGCACGTGAGCACTTAATCCACATCAGTTTTAAAATCTGTATATATAAAAGGCTAAGCCACCGTCCAACCGGTAGCTATGACACACCCTGACCACCAGGGGGCAGACGCTCCACACAGGAGTTGTCAAGCTGCTGTCATGACTTGGCAGTGGTGGTTCTCGGGTGATGCACCCCAGAACCAGAGAGGAGGGAACCATTCCATTCCATCCCATTGGGGTGCACCACCAGAGAAACGCCCTCTCGCAATCCGGGACCCCTCAAGGGGTGTCAGAGAACTGGTTTCGACCCGATCCCCCGGGCCAGGCTGAGGGGCCCCACCTGCCAGAGGGACCCGACTCACGCCGCAGATGCCCTTTGAACCCCAGGCCTGTCCCACTGGCCACCTTAATTAACTTCCTAATTAACTTCCTGCCAGTGTGTACGAATCGTGCACGCGTGTACACCAGCGTACGGGAGGCCCGGGCGTGGGTCCACGCACACGTGGGGCTTCGCGAGCTTGGCCGGCCATGGGAGTGCACTGACCACCAGGCTTTTATAGAGAGAGATGTGTGTTCTTATTAAAGGGGTGCAGGGAGGGGCACTGAGGACGTCAGAAGGGGCAGCAGGGGGGCAGGTCAGCAATACGTCCTGGGGCACCGTCCCTGTGCAGGAGGCAGGGACCCCTCAGCTGTGTAAGGCCACACCCCGCCCCGACGCTGTTCACCCAGGAACCAGCCAGGAACCACAGGTCCCCGAGGGGGGGACACGCCCACAGGTGCAGGACAGCTCCCACACAGCTCCGCGGGCGGGAGTACCAGCCAGAGGGGGCCTCTCTGAGCCCCCGGCTTGCGGACGAGGCACATCCCTTCTGCCCCAGGACCTCCGTGCGGAGGGCAGTGGGGGGCTGAAGGCCACGTCCCTGTCCCAGGGCCACTCAGGCGGAGACGGGCGGTGTGGGACTCGTGTTATGGGAGGTGAAGCAGCCCCAAGGGCCACGACTCCCTGGGGGGGGCTCCTCAGCCTGGCAGGTGGCATCGTGACAAAACGTCCCCCAAACTCCTGGGAGCCCAGATTGCGTGTGACGTCCAGACTGGCTGTCCAGGGCCCGGCCTGTGACTGAGGGACACTGTTATCATAACAGTAAAGGATAAATAGAATATTGAATAAGTATTAAAGTGTGGAATCGAAGTGTGATATCTGAAAGTGTGTAATGGAATGTAAACAAATGGATAAGCACCCTTGAGTGGCCTTTATGTAGGAAGTAGGTAAAGCGATCTGTATCCCATATAGAAGACCAGATAGCAGGACTCCTGGGACCCGCTGATGAGACACGCTGCAGACACCTCTGAGCACTGAAGTCACGTAACAAGAGGAAGCTCCGCAGAAGGTCAGAGAGGTCCCTTCTGCCCCTCCACAGGGTCGCTCTCCACCTCCCCTGCCTGCACCCGTCAAAGCTCTGCCCAAGCCGTGGACCGTGAGCTGTTGAGAGAGACCTCAACTCCAGCCGCGCTGCAGCTCAACGCCCTCCGTGAACCCCGTGTGTGTGTGGGTGGGTGTCTGTGTCTGTCAGCGCGGATCCCCGTGGCCTGCCGAGGATTCTGGAGCCCACCAGGAATCTGGCAAATAAACCGTGAGAGAGTTGTGCATTGCAAGCTTGTCTCCTGTCTGATTTATGCTCGGTGGAATTGTTAATTAAGAACCTAGGGTCATACCGGACAGATTTCTGGCTGAGGCACCCCGGGTCACCTGTGCACACGTCCCTTATGGAATTATGGGGGCAGACACCCCATGGCTGCGGGGCCGGCCCCTCCCCCAAGATGCATTCTCTAATCGTTCCCTCTCGGGTCAAATTTCCCACAGAGTCTGGAGAGCCGTGTTTGACAGGGGAGCTGGGGGCAAGAGGGGGTGCACGTGTGTGCGTGCACACACTGGATGTGACCCTGCCAGCACACGGGGAGTGGCCCTCGCGAGAGTGAGGAGGGACTCTGCCCAGGGGCGGGCTCGGGTGGGTCGCCTGGCTATGCATGCACACGTGTCCGTGTGCATGTGTGTGGTTGTGCCTGTGCGGTGGGCATGTGGAGCCGTGCCCACGCGTGTGTGTGTGTGTGTGTGTGTGTGTGTGTACAGCTCACCTGTCCTGCCCAGTGTCCAGAAGAATCCCAAGGACACGGAGCGGCACGGCGGGGGGCCTCCTGCTGGGCACGGCGCCCCGACAATCGGGAAGCCGCCGAGCGCCCCTCTGCCCACAGCACAGGGCGAGGCGCCTCCTCTCTGTGGAACTAAAAGCCGCCTCGGCCGGGCGCTCACCCACCTCCGGGAGGCAACAGGTCCCAGGGGGAAGCTCAGACGCATCATCGCTGAGCGGATTCACTTCAATCATTAGAACCGACGCCTCTAGCAGCTTCCGCTGGGCATTAAGCAGGCCGGGGAGGGGGGGGGTGGCAGAACCGGCAGCAGCGTGGACACGGCTCGGGCGTGGGCATGGGGCCCGTCACCACCCCGCCCCTCCTCGGGCCCATCTGAGCCCGCCGCTGACAGCCCGCCTCACCCCTGCGAGGGCCACTCTGTGTGTGCTGGCAGGGTCACGTCCACCACAGGGCCAGCACTGCCCTCTGTGCCCAGACCCTCCGCCCGTCCGTCCTTGGGCTGCGCCCCGTGCTCTGTGCCCAACCCCCACCCAGACCCACGGTAGCTTCTCAGAGGTGCCCAGTGACCCAGCACTGACCTCGGCCAAGCTGCTGGGCAGAGCTGACCCCGAGCTGGGGCGGGGCCCTGCTGGGGGGGGGGGGGGCTGGAGAGCCTTCCGGGCAGGGCCGAGGCGGGGACGCCACTCTCCGCAGCAGCGGACGGCCTCACCCGGAGAGGGAGAGCCGTCCCCTGGCAGGAGGGGTGACCACAGGGACAGCCTGCTCTCCCAGCATGCACTCCTCCCCAGGCCGTCCCCCCTGCGCCCCCACCGGCGCCAGGCGTGCTGCCTTGCAGAAGGAGCACCCCGATCTTTGACACGCTGCTGGAAACGCTCCCTCCGAGCCTGGTCCATACCAGAAGCAGCCCTGAAGGACCCCCCTCCACCTGCACGTCACACAGGGGACCCCAAGTCCGCAGGCTGAGCGCTCAGCGGCAGCCCCGGCCTCACACCAGGCGCCCGACCTCTGGCCTCAGAGCAGCCCAGCCAAGCGGGACCGGACAGGCTGCACCCAGCTGGGGTCCGGGGCGCAGGCAGGGCGGCTGGGCTCACCCTGGGGCTGGCTCCTGGCTCAGGCAGCGCCTGCCTGGGCACCCCCCCCTCCCTCTTCCTGGCCCCCAGGCCAGTAGGAAGCCCCGGCCCGCTCACCCTCTCCCCCCACGAGCAGATGGACAGGGGAAGGGAAGTCCCCAGATGAAAACCAGGGGCTGGAGACCATGACCCCGCCCTCCCCCTGACCCCCATCCCGATCAGGGCTCCTCCTGGGAAGAGATGCCCCTTCCAGGTGGGGTGCCCTCGCCCCTGCCCCTTGGGCACAGCCCTGCCCCCCCCCCACGCGGCCGTCCCCAGGCTCTGCTCGAGGCGGGGGGCGGGGAGGGGCAGGGAGGGGCGCCCCACGCACCCACCCCGCGGGCGCAGCCCAGGCCCCGCGCGCGGGCCCGCACCCCCCGCACCCCCGCACCCGGAGGCTCGGCCCCGCACCTAACATGGCCGCTCCGGCCACTCGGCCTCCGGGCGCGGAGAGACCGACGCGCGGGGCACCTGCTGGTCCCGGAGGAGCCGGGCCGGAGGGGCGCTCCCCGCGGCGGCCGCCGGGCGGGCGCTCCGGGCCCGGCCTGAACGGGGTCCGAGGGGCCTGGGGACCCGGGGACGGGGTCCCGGCGGGAGGCGGGGGCGCCGCCCGGACCGGCCCGCGGGGAGGCGCAGCGGACGTACCTGGGGGCGCCTCGGCCGTCGTCGAACACGAAGGTCCGGTTGGTGGGGCCGCCGCCGCGCGCCCCCGCCCGCGCGCCCCCGCGGCCGCCCCCCGGGCCGCGCGCCCTGCCGGGGCCCATCTGCGGCCGCGGCTGCTCGGACCCAGAGCCGAGGGAGAGCCGGCCGGAGCCACAGGCGACTCCTCCTCCGCGGCCCGAAACCCGCACTTTCTCCGCTTTGGGGCGGCAGCGCCTGGGGTCCGGCTCGGCGCCGGCCCGCGCGCGCCCCCTGCCGGCCGCGCCGGGAACCGCGGCGGCGTCGGGCGGGCTGGGCGGGGTCGGGGTCGGGGTCGGGGGTCCGGGGTCGTGTCCACCTGGCCCCGACCGGCCCTGAAGCCCCAGGGTCTCGGGGAAACAGTCTCAGACCGGCTCCCGCTGCGCCCCATCCTCCCCCTCCCTCCTGCACCTGTACCCCGCCCTCGGGTGAGACCAGTTCCTTCGGGGGCAGGGTTTGGGGGGGGGGGTCTTACCCACGTGCCAGCCGGGCGGCCTGGCTCCGGTGCACCCCCTGGGTGCCGCCCGGCGCCCTGGACCCACCATTTCTCCGCGAGGGCCCCCCGCCCCGGCTGGCCACGCCCTGAGGGCCGGGCTCGGCCTCCAAACAGCAGCATCCGCCCCCCCAAACAGCCCCACCGGCCTGGCACCGGGGCGCCTGAGGGGGCAGGGGGAGATGTCCGACCCGGAAGAGGGAGCAGGAGCCCGGCCCTGGGCTCCGCGGGGGCGCGGGCAGCGCCAGGTGCGGCGGGCACGTGGGCGGCGGGCGCGTGGGCGGCGGGCGCGTGGGCGGCGGGGCACGTGGGCGGCGGGCACGTGGGCGGCGGGGACGTGGGCGGCGGGCACGTGGGCGGGAGAGGCCGGCGGCGTGGGTGGAGGGGCAGCTGCGCTCATGGCGTCCGGAGGCCCCGAGCCCAGTGCCGGGCTCGCCCGAGGCCCCACCCCCCGGGCGTGCTGGTGAGGAGCTGGGGGTGCCCGGACTGAGGTGCCCGGACTGGGGGTGCCCGGACTGGGGGTGCGGGACTGCTCCCCGTCCCCCGGCTCTGCGTAGGCAGAGCCAACACAGCCCGGTGGGAGGGGGCGGGGAGGAACCTGTCTGGGCTCCGTGGCGTTCTCGGGGTTCTCGGTGGGGTTCTGGGGTTCGCGGCGACAGGGTTCGCGGTGGCGTTCTCGGGGTTCACGGTGCCGTTCTGGGGTTCTCGGTGGGGTTCTCGGGTTCGCGGCGACGGGGTTCACAGTGGCGTTCTGGGGTTCGCGGGTTCGCGGCGGCGTTCTCGGGGTTCTCGGTGGCGTTCTGGGGTTCGCGGCGGCGTTCTCGGGGTTCACAGTGGCGTTCTCGGGGTTCTCGGTGGGGTTCTGGGGTTCTCGGGTTCGCGGCGGCGTTCTCGGGGTTCACGGTGCCGTTCTGGGGTTCGCGGGTTCGGCGTTCTGGGGCTCGCGGAGCCCGGAGCTGTTCCCTCTCCCAGCAGCAGCTGTTCCCCGGAAGCCCGTCCCCCCCGCCAGGACCCAGGCGGGGGCTCCGGTCCAGCCCAGACCCCGGCGGGGCGTCCGGCCTGCGGGCTCCCCCGGAACGTGCTCAGCGAGCGGGAGCGCAGGTGGGGGGGGGACCAGATGGAGCACCTGGGACGGCCTGGAGTCTGCCCAGGACGGGGTGGGGCGGGGGGGGCGGGGAGCAGGCCGCAGGGCGCCCCTCTGGCCATCTCCCTGAAAGTCACACATTTCACTGAGGTCAGAGAGGAAGGGAGAGCGAGAGAGCCATTGCTGGGCCGCCTCCTGCAGGCCCTGCTCCTCCCACACCCCCAGGCGGGGAGGTGGCCCTGGGCCGGGAAGCCGGACACAGACCCTGAAGGACTGGGACTGGGGGGTCCAGCCTGTGCCCCTCGGGGCCGCTGTGAGGGGCCGGGGCTGCCCCCCTCTCTCCCGGCCAGGCTGACGGGCTCACGGGCGCCCGTGGCTTGTCCGGAACAGGAAGCGGATCTCCCTGAGCTGCAAGCGCCTGCGAGCCCTCCTGCCCCGCTTCGACGGCCGGCGCGAGGACATGGCCTCCGTCCTGGAGATGTCGGTGCAGTTCCTCCGGATGGCGGGCGCCGTGCTGCCCGGCGGGGAGCGGCCGGCGGTGCGTGTGGGGGCGCGGGGCGCTCCGGCTCCCTCCCAGCTGCACGGCCAGGGAGTCTCCCGGTGCCCGTCCCAGTCCTCACACCTCCTGTGGGCGTGGCTCCGTGGCCCCCGCCCGCCGTGGTGCCAGCCAGGAGCGAGTCCCACCGCCTCTTCCGGCTCCTCCCGCCCCTCCCGCCCCAGCTGAGGACCGGGGTCTGTGCTCAGGGGGGACCGGGACAGGACAGCCCACGTTTCCTGTGGTTTCCCCGTGGCCACGTCCGTGGTGATTTTGGTGTCTCTTTCTGTGTCAGGTCCTCGGCCCCACGGAGGAGGACTGGCACAAGTGGCAGCTGAGTCAGACCCCAGCAGAGGCTCCCGGGGCTGGGCCCGGAGCCCCCGGGACCATGTGAGTGCCCCCCCGCCTGGATGGAACCCCCGGGGCTGTGGGTGCGGGCTGTTCAGAGACCCCCCCCCCCCGTCTTTGCACCATCCAGGCTGCAGGACGCCCCGAGTGGCGTGACCACAGGTGTGACCACGGGGCTGGCCGAGGCGCTGGACAGGCCTGCAGCCCTCCCCGGTGAGTGTGCCTGGGCACAGGCGTGGTTCCAGGCCCCCCAGAAAGTGTGGGGTGTGGACTCACTGTGCCCTCTCACCCCGTGTCCGGCTCCCCGAGAACAGCCCCACTCTGCCGGCTCTGGGGTGGCTTCTCTGCTCTGTGGAGTGAGTCATGAACCCCAGGCTGTTCCCTCCCCCACACGGGCCTTTGTTCCCTGCCTGCCCGCCCCCCACAAGCCCGTGGGGTGCCCCTGAGGCCGGCGTCCCCCTCACACTGGACCCTGCCCAGCTGTCTGTCACTCTGTGGGCCGTGGCTGCCGGTGGCAGCACTTAAGCCGCCCACGTGCGTTTGCCAAGTGCCACGGGCAGCACAGCCTGAGTGTGCCCGGTGAGGGGGGGTGTGCTGGGGCCTGAGTGTGCCTGGTGAGGGGGGGTGTGCTGGGGCCTGAGTGTGCCCGGTGAGGGGGGGTGTGCTGGGGCCTGAGTGTGCCCGGTGAGGGGGTGGGGGTGCTGGGACCTGAGTGTGCCCGGTGAGGGGGGGTGTGCTGGGGCCTGAGTGTGCCCGGTGAGGGGGTGGGGGTGCTGGGACCTGAGTGTGCCCGGTGAGGGGGGGTGTGCTGGGGCCTGAGTGTGCCCGGTGAGGGGGTGGGGGTGCTGGGACCTGAGTGTGCCTGGTGAGGGGGTGTGCTGGGGCCTGAGTGTGCCCGGTGAGGGGGGGGGGGGTGCTGGGGCCTGAGTGTGCCCGGTGAGGGGGTGGGGGTGCTGGGGCCTGAGTGTGCCCGGTGAGGGGGTGGGGGTGCTGGGGCCTGAGTGTGCCCGGTGAGGGGGTGGGGGTGCTGGGGCCTGAGTGTGCCCGGCGAGGGGGTGGGGGTGCTGGTGACAGACGGGGCCACCGGGGAGCTGCAGGACCGAAACAGGACATGGGGTGCAGAGGCCGCGCTCGGGGGGCTGCTGGGAGGGTGGTGCCCTGTGGGGCGGGGGTCGCGGGCACAGGGAGGGGAGGCCGCAGTGGCACGGTGTCCCCAGTCCGAGCCCCACAGGCACCGCTTCGGGGAGCTCCCTGGTGCCGGTGCTGGGCACCTCCCTCTCCTGGTCACCTGCCTGCCTCTGCTCTACGCCCGTCGGGCAGGGCTCCACGGCGGGGGCTGAGGTCCTCAGGGGAGGGTGCTCCCGGGGGGGGGGGGGGGAGCTGTCCCACCGTCCCCTTTTCTCATAGGGACCTCCGGCCTGGCACCCTGGACCCCAGGCCCGAGTCCCTCCCCGGTCCTGAGGCCGCCCCCCGCCTGGCCTCCCTGCTCCTGGCCACCGACCTCCCCGCTGGCGAGGGAAGAGGCTCAGAGCTGCCCAGGCCTGACCGGGCCCCTGACGGAGGAGGCGACCCAGGCTGGGATGCCCGGCACCAGGTGGGCCCCGGCGGGCGTGTGCCCATGTGTGCCTGCCCGTGTACCTGCCTGTGTGCACACATGTGCCTGCCCGTGTACCTGCTCGTGTGTGCATGCCTGTGTATGCACACGTGTGCATGCCTGCGTGTGCACTGCCTGCCTGTATGTACATGCCTGTGTGTGCACCCCAAGGCCTGCCCTCAGTCCTGCTCCCCTCAGGCCTTCACTGTGAGTGCTGCCCAGGCCCAGGCTGCCCTGTGGCCTCTGACGTGTTTTGAAAGCACCCTCCCCTGACGAAGGGTCTCTGGGCTGGCAGCACAGCGGGGCGTGGGGACGCCGGGGGAGGCTCTCAGAGCCAGCGGCTCCTGTGCTGGTGCCGGGCGGGGAGGGCGCGGGCGCAGGCGCCTCTGGACCTGGGCCGCCTCGCAGGGCCACGCCTTCCCCTGAGGTCGGAGGACACGGGTTCCCTGGCCTCAGGGCGGGGTCTCCTCGCCACCCAGGTCCCTGCCCGCGTGTGGCGTGGAGGACGGGCCGTCCCTGCTGCTGAGGGCCAGTCCCGAGTGGTGGCTGGGTGAGTGGGGCGCGGGCGCCTTCCCCGATGGGGCGGCTGTGGGCTCGGCCTCCGGGCTGGGCTGGCGGGGTGACCAGGCTCCTGCAGGGCGACACCGGTCTCCGCCTGGAGCAGGGGAGGGAGCCCGCGGGAGGGCCTGTGAGAGCCTGAGTGTGCGTGAGCGTGTCTGTGCGTGTGGGGGGCCTCCTCTGCCCGCCGCCCCGCCCGCTTTGGCACGCTGACCTGCCCTGTCCCTCCTGTCCAGGGTCCCCGGAGGGCGGAGACAGCAGCGCCCCCGCTGGGGCCCCGGCCGGGAGCCCGCTGGGCAGGACGGAGCCGGGCTTCCTGGCCGGCCCTGCGCCCAGCGCCCAGGAGACCCCGGACGGCCCCCTGGAGCCGTGGGGCTGGGACGTGGGCTGCCCCAGCCTGGCCTTCCGGGACGAGGTGGACAGCATCTTCCCCGACTTCTTCGCCGGCTAGGCGGCGGACCAGCTGCTAGGCCGCTACCGGCTGTTCTCACCCCAGGGGGGGAGGGGGCTGTGGGGCTGTGAGGGGAGGAGTTATGGGGGAGGGGGCTGTGAGGGGAGGAGTTATGGGGGAGGGGGCTGTGAGGGGAGGATTATGGGGGAGGGGGCTGTGAGGGGAGGAGTTATGGGGGAGGGGGCTGTGAGGGGAGGATTATGGGGGAGGGGGCTGTGAGGGGAGGAGTTATGGGGGAGGGGGCTGTGGGGCTGTGGGGCTGTGGGAATGGGCTGAGCATTAAAGGGAGGAGTCTCTGGAGGAAGGACAGGTGTGATGTCGTGACTCGGGGGGAGGGACCGCTTCCTGCAGAGGCCTCTGATCTGGGCCGTCTGGGCCTGGGGAACCAGGCCTAGCCCAGCCCCTCCCCAGAGAGGCGGGGTGACCTTCCTCCTCCCACAGCCCCGGTCTGACCCCGTGCCCGGGCGGGGGCCGTGGTTGAACTTCACCCTCTGAGCCCAGGGCTCTGGGTTCCGTTCCCAGTCTGAGGGGTCCCCCAGGCTCCACCGGGGAGGCCCTGGGGGCTGGGCAGAGGCACCTGCTTCAGTGTTTGGCCCCGGTGTGCACACTCAGTCCCGTGGCTCCTGACGCCGGATCGGGGTGGCTGGGTTAGGTGGGGGAGGACACGCCGGGAGGGAGACGTCGGGCCCGGCTCTAGGCGGGTGCGGGCTGGCCGCCGCCCCCTCGGGTTCCTGGAGACGCTGAGCACAGCCCTGGCAGTGGCGCCCCCCCCGGAGCCCCCTCGGGAAGGGCACCGGCCGGGCGGCCAGTGTCCGGCAGCCTCCGGGCCGGAGCGCCTGGGCCGGCCTGGCAGGTCAGCCTGCCTCTCCGGCTCCTGGACAGTCGCCTCAGCTCCCTCGGCCCCGGTATGACCCCGGGCCCGGCCGTGTGGCTGTGGCTGAACCAGGAGGTGTCGGTTCCATTCCCGGTCAGGGCACAGCCTGGGTTGTGGGCTCGATCCCCTGGGTGGGGCGTGCAGGAGGCAGCCATCAGTGATTTTCATCGTGTGTGTGTCTCTCTCTCTCTCTCTCTCTCTCTCTCTCTCTCTCTCTCTCTCTCCCCCCCCCCTTCTTCTCTGAAATAAAAAATATATTAAAAAATGACCCAGTATGTGCATGCGTATGCGTGCCTATGTGTAGTTCTGTGGGTTTACACACGTGTGTTGAGTTTAGCCAGCACCTCTCCTGGGAGGGGGGATGGTGGGGGGACACTGCAGTCCCTGCCTGGGGCCCAGGGCCCCGAGCCTGCTGAGCGCCCGTGCGGTGACCCCTGCTGGCAGCCCCCCGCCCTGCGCTGCGGGCCTGGCTTCCAGGACGTGGGAGCTGGCCGCCTCTGTGGGTCAGGTGTGGGGTCAGGTGCCGGCTGTGACGTCCCTGCCCCAGGTGCCCGGCCCTGAGCTGGGATCTGCCCTCACCCAGCCCCCCAAGGCAGGAGGGGGGAGAGACGGGAAGCTGGGGTATCGGTTGCTCAGAGCCCTGAGGCCCAGGGGGGCAGAGAGGTGGGACCCCCTCCCCCCAGCTCCCCATGGAGGGGGAACCAGCCCCAGCGCAGGGGCAGGCGGAGCTCCTGTGCTGCCTCAGGCCTGCAGGGCGGGAAGGGGAGGGGGGTGTTGAGAATGTGGGGGGGGGAGTCGTGTGGCCCCTGGACCTGGGCTGCAGGGGCTGCCCTCCCCGCCGGCCGCAGGCGGTGTCAGTGGGAGCGTGGGCGGCCTGTTCCGCCATCGAGCCCGGTGAGCCGGGAGGAAGGCGGGGGGCGGGGGGGGGGGGGCGTGCTCTGTGCAGGCCGGAGCTGAGCGCAGCATGGGGTTCCGGAACAGCTTCCTCCCGCCGCCTCCGCTCCGGCCTTTGTGAACCAAAGCACAGCACAGCTCGTGGGCTGGAGCCAGCGCAGGGCGGTCAGAGCCCGCTGCTGGCAGGCCCCCTGCCCCTACCCCCGCCCCCGCCCCCGCCCCGGGCCTGGGACAGGGGCCGAGGACCAGGCACTGCCAGCCCCCCTCAGCGGACACTGTGGGCCTCGGTGACAGACAGCGTGGCAGGAGCCGACCAGCTCTCCGGCCACCGCCCCCCCCCGCCCCTGCCCCTGCCCCCCTCAGCGGACACTGGTGGGCCTTGGTGACAGACAGCGCGGCGGGAGCCGACCAGCTCTCCGGCCACCGCCCCCCCTCCCGGCCCCTGTCCCCCTCAGCGGACACTGTGGGCCTCGGTGACAGACAGCGTGGCAGGAGCCGACCAGCTCTCTGGCCACCGCCCCCCCTCCCGGCCCTGATGGCGCCACAAGCACCACGTGTGCCGGAGGCCCTGGTGCTGCTCAGCCCCCCCCCCCAGCCTCTGGCCACGGAGGTCCTCCCTGGGCCAGCACACCCACGGGCGCCACCAGCCCTGCCCCGGGGGCCCGGCCCCAGCCAGGCCTCCTGGGGAGAAGGAAATGTGTCCGCGGGTGCTCATGCCTGACCCCGGTCCAGACAGACCCACAGGCCCGCCTCCGCCTCTGGGAGGAAGCCAGCCCCTGCATGGACGCCTCTGCCCTCCTGTCTGCCTTCCTGTCTGCCCTCCTGCCCCCCTACCCCCTTGCCCTCTTGCCTTCCTGCTCTCCTGTCCCCGTCTGCCCTCCTGTCTGTCCTCCTGCCCTCCTGTCTGCCCCCCTGCCCTCCTGCCCCCCTGTCCTCCTGCCCTCCTGCCCCCCGTCCTCCTGCCCTCCTGCCCCCCTGTCCTCCTGCCCTCCTGTCTGCCCCCCGCCCTCCTGCCCTCCTGTCCTCCTGTTCTCCTGTCTGCCCCCCTGCCCCCCTGGTCTCCTGCCCTCCTGTCTGCCCCCTGACCCCTGCCCCCCTGTCCTCCTGTCTGTCCTCCTGCCTGCCCCCGTCTGCCCTCCTGCCCCCGTCCTCCTACCCTCCTATCCCCCTGTCTGTCCCCCTGCCTGTCCTCCTGCCCCCCTGCCCCCCTGCCCCCCTGCCCCCCCGTCCTCCTATTTGTCCTCTGCCTGCCCCCTGCCCCCTGCCCTCCTGCCCCCCTGTCCTCCTGCCCTCCTGTCCTCCTGTTCTCCTGTCTGCCCCCCTGCCCCCCTGGTCTCCTGCCCTCCTGTCTGCCCCCCTGCCCTCCTGCCCTCCTGCCCTCCTGCCTCCCTGTCCTCCTGTCTGTCCTCCTGCCTGTCCCCGTCTGCCCCCCTGCCCCCCTGCCCTCCTGCCCCCCTGTCCTCCTGGCCCCCGTCCTCCTGCCCTCCTATCCTCCCGTCTGTCCCCCTGCCTGTCCTCCTACCACCCTGCCCCCCTGCCCTCCTGCCCTCGGGGCTGAGCATGTCCCTGTCCTGGGGTTTCTGGGTGGAGCGTGCGTGGAGGGTGGGGTCCCTGTCCCCGGGAGGGGGAGGGGAGGGCGGCTGGGGGAGCACAGGGCCAGGAGTGGGGGCACTGATGTGGGAGGGCGGGGCCGAGCTGTGTCTGGGGCGGGAGGAGGCTGGGCCTGCCGGGGAAGTGTCTGTCAGGCTGGGATCTGAGGAGGGAACCACACACACTTTTGTTTTTTAAAATATTTTTATTGATCTCAGAGAGGAAGGGGAAGGGAGAGAGGGAGAGAGGACCATCCATGATGAGAGAGAATCATGGACCGGCTGCCTCCTGCACGCCCCACCCTGGGGATCGAGCCCAAAGCCCGGGCCAGTGCCCTGACCGGGAATCGAACCCTGACCTCCTGGCGCACTGGGCGATGCTCAGCTGCTGAGCCCGCTGGCTGGTGACCCCTTCATTCTGAGGTGAATGGGGGTTCACAGGAGGTTTGAGGACGGACACAGACCCAGGCCCCTGATCCGCCCGCCTCGGTGTCTGTGAGGTGCCCCGGGGTCTGTCCAAACCCCGACCTCGGGCGCAGGGGGGGTGCGTATTGGGAGAAGGGTCTTTGCAGATGGACTAAGGGACAGATCGTGAGGTGAGATCGCCAGGCTGTCCAGTCCTACATCCGGGAACAGGTGGCCTAAAGGGGCGGGGGAGAGAGACAGAGGGAAGGCGTGTCCCGAGGCAGAGCAAGGAGAGGGAGCCGGGGCAGCTGGGAGGGCGGGAGGGACCCCAGAGACCGGGAGGGAGTGGGGCCGGGTGGCCTCGATGTCAGGTTCTGGAGCCCCGGCTGCGGAGAACACACCATGGCTGTCAGTCACCCCACGAGAGGGCAGGGATGGGGGGGCTTAGCCCTGCCTCCCCCAGGAGGCCAGCAGGGGGTGGGGGCTGGGCTAGGGGTGCTCCCCCACCCCGGTTCCTCCCTCGTGCTGCTGCCCGCGCCCCACACGCACCCGACACCCACAGTCTCCTCTACTGCCGGTCCAGGACACACGGGTCTGGGGACAGAGCGGCTCTCAGACGGGATTCGGGGGGGGCCCCAGCCCCGCTCCCGGCCGGCGGCCTCCTACCCTGGGTGCTCAGGCTGAGGATGTGCTGGGGGCCCAGCCCGTGCTTCCTGCAGAGACTCTCAAACCTGTGCAGGAAGCTGTGGGGCAGCTCGGGGATCCGGCCTGCGGACAGACGGACAGACAGGCAGATGGACAGACAGCAGGCTGGTGCCTCCCAGTCCCTGGGACCAGGTTGGGGAGGGTCTCGGGGCCTGGGCAGCAGGGGGCTGAGGGGCAACACTGCTGGGTGGGGCACCTCCCCCTGCAATGGGACCTGACTGATGGGGCCTAGGGCTGGGCAGGGTGGGGCCTGGATATGGGGGCCCCACGGGGTGGGGCCTGGGTTTGGGGGCCGGGCGGGGGGGAGCCTGGGCCTGGGGGCCGGGCGGGGGAGCCTGAGGGGCCGGGCAGGGGGGGCCTGGGGGCCGGGCGGTGGGGCTGGGGGCCGGGCGGGGGGCCTGGGCCTGGGGCCGGGCGGGGGGCCTGGGGGCCGGGCGGGGGGGCCTGGGGGCCGGGCGGGGGGGCTGGGGGCCGGGCGGGGGCCTAGGCCTGGGGGCCGGGCGGGGGCCGTCCTCGGGGACGGCCGGAGCGCCCGGAGCCGCACGCACCATACAGCGCCATCACGCGGGTCTGGGTGCGGTTCCGGACGCTGTGCAGGTGGAAGGCGGCGTAGAGGTTGTAGTCGGTCTCCGTCAGCACCACCCTGTTGTCCCCCATGTCTGCGCGGAGACGGGCTCAGCGGGGCCGTGCGCCCGGGGAGGGTGGGGGTGGGGAGTGGGGGTGGGGGAGGCGGCCGGGGGGGCCCTAGCCGTGGGGGCAGATGAGCACACGGTACCCCCTCCCTGGGGCTCAGCCATGGCCGTCCCAGCGGGTCCTGGGCCGGGGCCCCATCACTGGGCTCCGCCATCGGGGTCCCCTAGAGCCCGGGGTCAGAGGTCACGGGAATGCTGAGGTCCCACTTACGGGCCAGGGTGCACTCCCCGCTCCTCTCCGTCTTCTCGCAGACGAGGGCCACCTCCACGCAGTCCCCGAGCAGCCTGCACACGGCCTGGGTGAGCCCCGCCCCTGTGCCCCCCCCCCCCGTCCCCATCGCCCCCCCCGCCCCTCTGCCCCCCCCCGTCCCCATCGCCCCCCGCCCCCCCCGCCCCTCTGCCCCCCCGTCCCCATCGCCCCCGCCCCCCCACCCCTCTGCCCCCCCCCCCCGTCCCCATCGCCCCCGCCCCCCCGCCCTGCACCCACAGGACAAGGGGTGCAGAGGGCTGGGGGGCACCGGCCAGGCTGGGGGGCCACGCACATGAAGTGGAAGCAGCAGCGCAGGCTGCCCCCATCCATTGCCCCCGTCCACCCCCCGTCCGCCCCGTCCGCCCCCATCCGCCCCCCGTCCGCCCCCGTCCACCCCCGTCCGCCCCCCGTCCACCCCCGTCCGCCCCCCGTCCACCCCCATCCGCCCCCCGTCCGCCCCCCGTCCGCCCCCGTCCACCCCCGTCCGCCCCCGTCCGCCCCCCGTCCGCCCCCGTCCGCCCCCCGTCCGCCCCCCGTCCACCCCACAGGACGGGGCTGGCCATGGGGGGCGGGGGCTCCGGGGGGCGGGGGCCTTGGGGAGGGGGTGCAGGGATCTCGGGGGTACGGAGGGCTGGGGGGGTGCAGGGGGGGTGCAGGGGGCTGCGGGGGGGCGGGGGGCTCCAGGGGGGCTCAGTGGGGTGGGGGCTCCAGGGGGCGGGGGGCTCCGGGGGGGGCTCAGTGGGGTGGGGGCTCCGGGGTGCGGGGGGCTGCGGGGGGCTCAGTGGGGTGGGGGCTGCGGGGGGGCGGGGGGTTCCGGGGGGCGGGGGGCTCGAGGGGGGACTCCGGGGGGGGCTCAGTGGGGTGGGGGCTCCGGGGGGCGGGGGGCTGCGGGGGGCTCAGTGGGGTGGGGGCTGCGAGGGGGCGGGGGGTTCCGGGGTGCGGGGGGCTGCGGGGGCTCAGTGGGGTGGGGGCTCCGGGGTGCGGGGGGCTCCGGGGGGGCTCAGTGGGGTGGGGGCTCCGGGGGGGCTCAGTGGGGTGGGGGCTCCGGGGGGGCGGGGGGCTCCGGGGGGGCTCAGTGGGGTGGGGGCTCCGGGGGGGCGGGGGGCTCCGGGGGGGGCTCAGTGGGGTGGGGGCTCCGGGGGGCGGGGGGCTCCGGGGGGGCTTGAGGGGGGCACGCACATGAAGTGGAAGAAGAAGCGCAGGCTGCCGCCGGCCGCGCCCTCGATCTTCTGGATGAAGACCCGCAGGTCCCCGCCCTCCCGGATGCGCCGCACGTCGCTCGCGGCCATGGCGATGGAGTACCAGTCGCCCCACACCTGGGAGACGCCGGGCCTGCAGGGCGGCTCCCTCCGGCCAGGCCCCACGGGTGCCGGCAGGGCCCCCAGCCCCCCAGGGCCCCCAGCCCCCCAGGGACCCCCTACCCCCAGGGACCCCCTACCCCCAGGGACCCCCTACCCTCAGGGACCCCCTACCCCCAGGGACCCCCTACCCCCAGGGACCCCCTACCCTCAGGGACCCCCCAGCCCCCCAGGGCCCCCCAGCCCCCAGGGACCCCCAAGCCCCAGGGACCCCCTAGCCCCCCAGGGACTGCCTAGCCCCCTAGGGGCCCCCAGTCCCCCAGGGACCCCCTAGTCCCCCAAGGACCCCCCAGCCCCCCAGGGACCGCCTAGACCCCAGGGACGGCCAACCCCCAGGGGCCGCCCGGGGAGGGGAGGCGAGGCGAAGGGGCCCCTCGGGAGCGGCGCCCGGAGCAGGTGGGGCGCCGGCTGAGGGGACGGCGCCGGCCCACCTTGGCCAGGTCATAGTTCCCGCGAACCACGGACTGCAGGTTGAGCTCCTGGGCGGAGGCCGGGCCTGGCCCCAGGCCCAGCGGCGGCAGCAGCAGCAGCAGCAGTGCCATCCCTCGGCGGGCCCTGGCCCCATCCCTCCCCTTTATACCCGGTCCCTGCCGCCCGCTGCCCTCCCCCCGACACAGCCCTTTCCTCCCCCACCCCCGTCCTCCTCACCGGGGAACACAGCCAAGGCCTGCGGCCGCCGCCCCCACGCCCGCCGCGCAGCTGGCACCGGGCCCCTCGGAACCTGCCGGACAGGGCGTCCGTCCGGTCAGCAGCCGCAGAGGGCAGAGGGACCGACGGGCAGGTGGCAGCCAGACGCCCCTCCCCCCGCCCCCCCCCCACCCCTGCCTCCCCGGCCCCCTCCGCCTGCCTGGCCCGGCCGTGCCATCGGAGAGCGTCCTGGGGCCCGTGCAGCCTCGTGTGGAAACGAGCAGAGGCGGCCGGCCAGAACGGCTCCGTGGTTGACGTCCATCTAGGAGCCAGGAGGTCAGGGTTCAGTTCCCGGTCAGGGCACAGGCCCGGGCTGGGGGCTCCGTCCCCAGTGGGGGGCGTGCAGGAGGCAGCGCATCCATGGTTCTCTCTCCTCACGGATGTTTCCCTCTCTCCCTCTCCCTCACTGAGATCAATAAACATATATATATATATATATTAAAGTTTTTAAAAGGAGAGAGAGGGGGCCCTGGGGAGCTGGCATGGTCAGAGGATGCAGCTGGAGGCCCTGGCCGGCCCGCACCGATGTCCACACCCCGCCCGCTGTGCCCGCGTGGACACCCACACGCAGTCCCTCCTGGAAGGTCGGGGGCCAGGGGAGCAGCAGGTTTACACCTTCAGCTCCTCAACCAGATCGGCCGTCGCCCGGCAACCAGCGGAGCATTGTGACCTCGGTGCTCCGGGTCATCAAAGGGGCTGCTGACCTCACGCCCGGGAGGGGCGGGGGGGCCCGGTGCCCGAGCTCGGAGCGTCCTCCTGGGCGTCTCCTCCCCTCGACCACGGTGAGGGCACCCTCGGGGGAGACACGCTGAGGAGGGACCCGGCCTACCCCCTCAAACCCCCCCTTGGCACTTCTTCAACTGCAGGGTGAGGGGTGTGAGCATCGGGGCGGCTGGGGCAGCCAGGTGGGCCGGGTCCAAGGGAAACCCCCCAGCCACTGTGGCAGCGTCCAGCTTCCTGTGGCCGCATCACCAGAGGGGAAGGAGCAGGTGGATTCACTTGGGAGCCACTGACCCGCTCCTGCGAGGAGCGTCTGCCCCCGGTGGTCAGTGCGTGTCATAGCAACCGGTGGTTCTGATTCCGTCAATTTGCATACTAGCCTTTGATTACATAGAACATTGATTGGTTGATTTCGGAGAGAAAGGGAGAGAGAAACATCCGTTATGAGAGAGAATCATGGATCGGCTGCCTCCTGCACGCCCCCCACTGGGGATCGAGCCCACAGCCCGGGCCTGTGCCCTGGCCTCCTGGTTCAACGCTAAACCCCGGAGCCACACTGCAGGCCCCGGCACGTGTCCTCTGCGGGGAGCTGGGCGGTGTGAGCAGCCGGGGTGGTGGGCTCAGGCCCCAACGGAGGCTGCAGGTCGCGTCTACCCCGGGCCTGGGCGTCTGAGTGGTCAGGTCGGGGACCCTGTGACTCCGCCCCCTCCGCTCCGCTCCCCAGATGAGAAGGGGCTCCAAGAGGAAGCTTCTGCTGCTGGTCTCTCTGGCCCTCTCGCTGCTGTGGGCAGGCCGCCACCTCAGGTAACGGGACGCCTGCAGGGGGCGCGGCCTGGCGACATGGGACGGCTGCCGCTGAGGTCCCTGCAGCGGGAGGGCATCGAGGCTCCGGCCGAGGCAGGGCCAGGGCTGCGAGCTCAGGGGGCCCAGTGGCTGTGGTTTTGTGCGGAGCCGGCTGACCACAGAAGCTCGGGCCGGAGTTGGGAGCAGCTGGGCGGGTGGGGACGCGATGTGGGCTGAGAGCCGGGCCTCACAGCACGGGTCCCTGACTGGGCAAGCGTTTGCCGACGGCGCGATGCCAGCTAACTGCCTCCCTCTGCCAGGCCCCAGCGGGCGGAGCTCCAGCTCTCAGACTGGTTCGACCCCAGGTGGGCACGGGCGTCTGGCACCTGCCCCAGGGGGGGGCGGGCGGTGTGGTGAGGGTGGGGGGGGTGGGAGTGGCAGAGGCTCGGACCGGCCCCACCCCAGGTGCACACACCAACTCCGGGCAGCCCCTTGACCCACCGTGCCTCAGTTTCCCCACGTGCCGAGCGGGGAGGCGGCGGTGCCCAGGGCAGCAGGCAGGAAGGTCGGACAGGTGGCTCCACGCCCTCCGCTGGGCACCGGCAGGCGCCGGGAGGCGGGCATCAGCTCTCCACCGCAGCCTCCGGTCCTTGCTGGCCTGCCCGCTGCAGCCGCCCCTCCCCTGCCCGCAGGAAGCGGCCGGACGTGGTGACCACCACGGACTGGCTGGCCCCGGTCATCTGGGAGGGCACCTTCGACCGGCGGGCGCTTTACCGGCACTACCGGCGGCAGAACCTCACGGTGGGCCTGGTGGTCTTCGCTGTCGGCAGGTAGGTCGCGCCTCTGCCCTTCGCCCTCTGCCCTCTGTCCTCTGCCCTTCGCCCTCTGCCCTCTGCCCTCTGCCCTCTGCCCTCTACCCTTCGCCCTCTGCCCTCTGCCCTTCGCCCTCTGCCCTCTGCCCCGTCCCGAGCTTGGATGGACACCCCCAGGCCTTCTGCCTTCGACGCACTGCTGGCCGTCCGGCACCCGGGCTCCGGGCCGCCATCGCCCGTCCCGGCCGCATGCCTGCCTTCCCATGACCCCTCACCCAGGTTCTTCCCGTCCATCTGTGTTCGTTTTATTTATTTTAGAAAATACATTTTTATTGATCTCAGAGAGGAAGGGAGAGGGAGAGAGAGAGAGTCATGGATCAACTGCCTCCTACACGCTCCCCACTGGGGATCAACCCACAACTGAGGCCTGTGCCCTGGCCGGGACTCGAACCCTGACCTCCTGGTTCACAGGTCAACTCTCAACCACTGAGCCACGCTGGCTGGACGCCATTGATTTTTAGAGAGAATGGAAGGGAGGGAGAGAGCGGAGAGAGAGACAAACATTGCTGTGAGAGCGTCTGGTTGTCTCCTGCACGTGTCCCGACGGATGCCAGCGATCAAACCTGCAACCCGGGTGCACGCCCCTGAGCAGAAATCGAACCCGAGGCCCTTTCGTGCCCACAGGGCCGACACTCTAACCACTGAGCCCCCTGCCCAGGGCTGCGTCATGACCTTTGCACTGACACCCATTCAGCACTAGTGTCTCTCCAGCTGTTGTCCCCGATGTCTGACGGCCTTTCTGGCCCAGCCCTCGGCTCTCAGACGCTGTCCCCGCCCAGCCCCACCCCACCCCGTCCCCCCCTCGCCCCCCCTGTCCCCCCCACGCCCCCGTCCCTCCCACCGGCGCCCCGATTGCAGGGCCGCCCACCGGTACCTGGAGCCCTTCCTGCGGTCGGCGGACAAGCACTTCCTGCCGGGCTTCCGCGTGGTCACCTACGTGCTGGCGGAGAGCTGGCTCCGGCCGCCGGCGCTGCCCGCCCGGCCGCTGCGCGCGGTGCGGGTGCTGGCCGTGCGGCCGGACCGCGGGCCCCCGGGCCGCAGCCTGTGGCGGCTGCAGAGCCTGGGCGCGGCCCTCAGCGCCGTGCAGGCCGAGGCCGACTTCGTGTTCAGCATGAGCGTGGACCGCGTGTTCCGGGCGGACGTGGGCGCCGAGGTGCTGGGCGCGGCCGTGGCCCAGCTGCACGCCTGGTGGTTCTTCCGGGACCGGCGCCACTTCCCCTACGAGCGGCGGCCGCGCTCCGCGGCCTGCATCCCCGCCGGCCAGGGCGACTTCTTCTACGACGGCGCGGTGCTGGGCGGCGCGCCCGCCCGCCTGCTGGCCCTGCTGCGGGCCTGCCTGGCCGGCGCGTGGCAGGACGCCCTGCACGGCCTCCACTCCACCTTCGAGAGCCACCTGAACAAGTACTTCTTCCTGCACAAGCCCAGCACCCTGCTGTCGCCCGAGTACAACTGGGATGCCAGCTTCCACCCACCGCTGCAGGTGCGGCTGGTGCGGGTGCTGCAGCTGGGCCGGCGCGACCCTGACCCCTGACCCCACCCCACCCTACCCCGTGTCCCCACCCGGCTTCGCTCGGCCAGCAGCCGGGCCCCAGCACACACACCGCTGGCCGCTTGGCCTGGATGGAGACCAGACCCCCAGGTGGGCCACCCCCAGTGAAGACTGAGCAGCGGGTTGGATGTTCAAGGTGCTGCGATGTTCTGTATGGGGCAGGTGGCCCGCAGACATTTTGGAGGCAGAAAATAAACATTTTTTCACGGAGAAAGACCGTGGTGTCCGCACAGAGGGGAACGGTGAGGTGTGAAGGGGGGTGACCCCCCAAGGGCCATGCCCGGGGCCCGGGGCCCAGGGCTCTCCGTCCGCCCAGGGCTGTTTGCCGTGACCCTCCGTGTGCCTGTGACCAGACAGGCGACGTCCTGCCAACGCGTCCTTCCCGATCGATCCCGGTTTCTTTTTTTTTTAAAGCTGTAGGCATTTTGTTTGTTTATGTTTGCTTGTAAATCCTCACCCGAGGATTTATTATGTTTTCCATTGAGTTTTAGGGAGAGTGGAAGGGAGGGAGGAGGGAGAGAGAGACATTGATGTGAGAGAAACACGTCGACTGGTTGCCTCCTGCAGGCACCCCATCAGGGAGGGGCCGGGATGGAGCCTGGGACGGAGGTTCGAGCAGAAACGAACCCGGCACCCTTCAGTCCGAGGGCCGACACGCTACGCAGGGAGCAGACCGCGAGGGAGGAGGGGCGTGCAGAAGGCAATGCTTTTATTGATTTTCAGAGAGGAAGGGAGAGAGAAAGAGAAACAGCAATGATGAGAGAGAATCATTGATCAGCTGCCTCCTGCGCACCCCACACTGGGGATGGAGCCTGCACCTGGGCCTGTGTCCTGACCGGGAATCGAACCCTGACCTCCTGGTTCCCAGGTCGACGTTCAACAGGCCACGTACAGAGGTGACCGTGGTAAAACGTGGCCACGAGGGTGGCCCTGGTCCAGTAGGAAGGGTGACCTCATAAGAGAGGGGATGGGGCCCTGACCGGTGTGGCTCAGTGGATAGAGCGTCGGCCTGCAGACTGAAGGGTCCCAGGTTCGAATCCGGTCAAGGGCATGTGCCTTGGTTGAGGACACATCCCCAGTAGAGGGTGTGCAGGAGGCAGCTGATGGATGTTCCTAACTCTCTATCCCTCTCCCTTTCTCTCTGTAAAAAACCAATAAAATATATATATTCAAAAAAGAGAGGGGGGGGGGGGGAATGGGAGCACAGCCAGGCAGAGAGGGCCCTTGAGGACACGGGGAGGCGACAGCCACACGCCTGGGATACGTGTCCGTGTCTTTGGCTCGTGGGTCCTGGCTCCGCAGGGGCCATGGTGCCGCTCGCAGCCCCCGTGTGCAGGGAACCGTCGCTGGGCGGGAGCAGACCGGTCCTGTCTCCGGCATCTCCAGACGCGAGGACGGAGGCTGGAGGCGGCCGGTTCCTAAGAGACGGCCCAGCTGGTGGTGACTCACGCTCGGCCAGGCAGCAGTGGGCACTCACCTGCAGACCCCGCCCTCCGGGGCCCCTGATGCTCAGAAAGGGGGTGTCCTGGCTCACCAGACCGCGTGCAGGTTCCGGGGCCTGAGTTCCTCCCTCGTTCACGCCCCTCGGGCCCGGGGGGACTGCCCGGAGCAGACCCCGAGGAGGCCGGTCGGAGGGCTGCCAGCTGGGCCACGGACAGTCAGCTTCTCGGCGAAGGCCCATGGCTCTGTCCGCTGCACGGTAACGCTACGCCCAGGCCCCGGCCCCCTCGCCACCTGGAGTGACCTCCCGCCAGGCCAGGATGCCAGGGGCGGTGGGCGCCTCAGCCACTGGCTGCAGGACCTGGTGACCCAAAGCCAAGGAGACCCCATTCGGGGACGGAGAGGGTGGGGCGGGCGCAGACAAGAGCCTCAGGCAGCACAGGGTGCACAGGACCCTGGGAACGGGAGAAGGTGCCGGAAGACTGACGGGAGGGCCGGACCTGGGCTGCAGGCGGAGGACACGGGGCTGCTGAGGGAAACAGGTGGACATTAGGAGGGTTGGCCAAGGACATGCACCTTCTCCACTACAACCTTCACCACCACTGTGAGCTCTACTGCCAAACCCTAAGTCTAATCCTAATGATAAGAAGCTTAACCTTAACCATGGGCCACGTCCTAAACTTAACCCAAATCCTAAACATAACCCTAGCCATAACCTAACCCTAACTCTAACCCTAACCCTAACCCTAACCCATAACCTAACCCTAACCGTAGCCCTACCCCTAGCCCTAACCCTAACCCTAGCCCTAGCCCTAGCCCTAGCCCTAACCCTAACCCTAACCCTAACCCTAACCCTAACCTAACCCTAACCGTAGCCCTAACCCTAACCCTAACCCTAACCCTAGCCCTAACCCTAGCCCTAGCCCTAACCCTAGCCCTAACCCTAACCCTAGCCCTAACCCTAACCCTAACCCTAACCCTAGCCCTAGCCCTAACCCTAGCCCTAACCCTAACCCTAGCCCTAACCCTAACCCTAACCCTAACCCTAACCCTAACCCTAACCCTAGCCCTAGCCCTAACCCTAACCCTAACCCTAACCCTAGCCCTAACCCTAACCCTAACCCTAACCCTAGCCCCGCCCGGTGGCCTGGGTGCAGTGGGGTAGTGCTCACCCTCCAGGTTGAAGACGGGGGCCTCCTGCAGCTGGAACTGCCTCACGTACCCCAGGAACCTGCGCAGCAACTGGGGGTCCCCGGGCAGGCGTCTGGCTGCAGCAGGGGGGCGGGTGGTGAGGGCCCAGACCAGAAGCTGTGGGGTCAGACTCGTCCCTCCCCCCGGCTCCTGGCCAGGCCGAAGCTGATGCCCGCTGGCCAGGATGGCGCCCTCGGCCCCCTCGGCCCCCTCGGCCCTGCTCCAGGGGCAGGGGGGCTCCCGCTCCTGGGAGCCAGGATCTACCCCTGAGGCGAAGCCAGCCAGAGGGTCCCCAGGGCACACGGGGCTCCCCGTGACCCGGCGCCCCCACCCGCTGACCCTCCGCCGTCCACGCCCCAGGTCGGCGTGCCCCTCCCCCGGAGGCTCCCGCCGGCCCACGGAGACGCCAGCTGGGACACGCCCAGGGGCGCCCGGAGCGGGTGCTGTGAGGGCGCCGTGCTGAGCGGCCGCTGACCCCGCACCGGGCAGCAGGCTCCGAGCCCGGGTCTGGGGAGATGGGGGTGCCCAGCGTCGGGGAGACACTGACTACCCAGCAGCGCCCACAGGCTGGTGACCTCGCCCGCGCCCCCCGGGCCGCCCTCCTCCACGCGGACGCAGAGCGGAGGCTGCGGAGGTCGGAGCGGACGAAGCGGACGCGCACGCGGGCTCCTCCCTGGACCGCGGGGACAGAGCCCGCGTGACCGGGGCCTGACGGGCCCTGACCCCACCCGCACCCGGCCGTCCACCCTGCGTCCACCCCGACCCCAACCGTCCACCCCGCGCCCGGCCGTCCACCCCGGCGGTCCACCCCGACCCCGACCGTCCACCCCGCGCCCGGCCGTCCACCCCGGCCGTCCACCCCGACCCCGACCGTCCACCCCGCGCCCGGCCGTCCACCCTGCGTCCACCCCGACCCCAACCGTCCACCCTGCGTCCACCCCGGCCCCGACCGTCCACCCCGCGCCCGGCCGTCCACCCCGCGTCCACCCCGACCCCGACCGTCCACCCCGCGCCCGGCCGTCCACCCCGGCCGTCCACCCCGACCCCGGCCGTCCACCCCGGCAGTCCACCCCGACCCCGCCCGTCCACCCCGCGCCCGGCCGTCCACCCCGGCCGTCCACCCCGCGCCCGGCCGTCCACCCCGGCCGTCCACCCCGACCCCGACCGTCCACCCCGCGCCCGGCCGTCCACCCCGGCGGTCCACCCCGACCCCGGCCGTCCACCCCGGCAGTCCACCCCGACCCCGGCCGTCCACCCCGCGCCCGGCCATCCACCCTGCGTCCACCCCGACCCCAACCGTCCACCCTGCGTCCACCCCGACCCCGACCGTCCACCCCGCGCCCGGCCGTCCACCCCGCGTCCACCCCGCGCCCGGCCGTCCACCCCGACCCCGACCGTCCACCCCGCGCCCGGCCGTCCACCCCGGCAGTCCACCCCGACCCGGCCGTCCACCCCGGCAGTCCACCCCGCCCCCGGCCGTCCACCCCGCGCCCGGCCATCCACCCTGCGTCCACCCCGCGCCCGGCCGTCCACCCCGACCCCAACTATCCACCCCGCGTCTACCCCGACCCCGACCGTCCACCCTGCGTCCACCCCGACACCAGCCATCCACCCCGTGCCCGGCCGTCCACCCCGACCCCCGACCGTCCACCCTGACCGTCCACCCTGCATCCACCCTGACACCGGCCATCCACCCCACGTCCACCCTGCCCCTGGACCGTCCACCCCGCGTCCACCCCGCGCCCGACCGTCTACCCCGCAGCCAGACCAGCCCGCGGGCCGCCGTGGACACAGGCAGGACGAGGGACGCCCTCTGGCCCAGCTGCGCCCCCACCGCCAGGCTGGGCATGGGGTCCCTCCCCCCGCGGGCCGGCCGGCCGGGGACTCACCGGCGCCCTGGTACTGGCCCGGGAGCCCCGTCGGGTGGACGGTGACGCGGACGCCTCTGCACAGCCGCTGCCCGCTGGGGAGGGAGGGGCTGGGGGCTGCCGTCCCTTCCCTTCCCGTCCGGGTCCCAGTCCCCGCGCTGCCCGCTGGGGAGGGAGGGGCTGGGGGCTGCCGTCCCTTCCCTTCCCGTCCGGGTCCCAGTCCCCGCGCTGCCCGCTGGGGAGGGAGGGGCTGGGGGCTGCCCTGAGCACAGGGCTCCTGGCTGGGAGGGCCGGCCCCCGGGGGGTGCGGGGCCGTCTGTCTGTCTGTCCGGGGGACCTGGGTCTCGGGAGGGGATCCAGGACTGCGTCCTCATCACGGGCTCCATGCACAGAGCGAACCGTAGGCCCCGCCCAAGTCCCCCTCTCCCCCACCCCACCCCTCCCGGGTCTACTGCTTCCAGGGGCGGGCGGGCAGGCGAGCGGGCGCACAGACTGCGGCTCCCGTGGCCACACCGTCTCAGACGCCACGGGCGCAGCTGCTGTGTGGCAGAGTCTGCACGCTTGTCCGGTGACACCAGCTCCTCCCGCCGGGACCCACCCAGCTGACGGGCAGGACGGGCTGAGCCGTGAGACCGGCCGGCGAGGTCCCTCCTGCCTGCCCGCCCTGCAGAGCCGAAAGGACCTGAGCGGCTCCAGCCCCGGCTGAGCCGATGCCGACGTCTTGGGGGGCCCGAGCACCCCACCCTCAGGTCCTGAGGAGCCACCTTACGTCCAGAACAAGAGGAACTCCAGGTCCGGGCCCCGCGTCGCGATGGAGTGGAGTGCCAGCCGCAGGGGGTCGTGGGGGAGACCAGGCGTGCCCGGCTGGAGGCCAGCCGGAGGGTCAGCCAGCGCCCGGCCACCTGTGGGTGCAGGTGCAGGGTGGGGGAGGGTCCCGCAGCCTCCGGGGGGGAGCAGGGGTCTGGTCAGCCTCCCCACCCCTCCCTCACTGCCCCTTTTTCCCCCTCCTGTGCTCGGCCCACCCACCGCCCTGCTGGGTCCTGTGCCCTGGCCGGTGTGGGAGGGGGTCTCCCGGGACCGGCCGCCACGTCTGAAACTGCTCCCTGCCGGCCCTGCCCGCACCGTCCACGCCCAGTGATGGGCGATGGCAGGGGGCTCGCAGGGCAGCGTCCCCCCAGCCAGGGGGCAGCTGCCCAAGGAGCACCCCGGGGCGGTGCCAGGGCCCGACGTGCCCGCCGCCTCGCCCGCCGCCTCAGTAGCACCCAGCCTGCTCCTGCCCGCCTGCCCCCGGCGAGGCCCCGAGACGCTGGCACCCACGTCCTGGCCACGATTACCTTCTGGGCGTCAAAGCCGGGCTGCACGGGCACCTCCTCCAGGGTCCTCTGGGTGCCGGCCAGGCCCAGGCCGAGGGCCAGGACCACGGGGGCCCAGAGGGCGGGGCGGCCGGGCGGCCGGGGCCCCGTCTCCATGTCTGACCTCAGCTGCCGCCCTCCCGCCAGACGCCTGCCTGTCCCGGAGTCTCTGCCGAGGAGGCCCCGCCCGCCCGTGAAGGGTGTGCCGGTATCGCCGGGCGAGGGCCGTCCGGGCGGTTTGGGCACGGGGCACGTGCAAGGAGCCGTGGGGGCGGGAGGAAGGCACCAGGCGTGTCTGCTGGGCGCGCCGGCTGCTTCCTCCCCTGCTCCTCCCGGCAGCACCCTCCCTGCCCGAGCGGCCAGCACCCTCCAGCTCCCTCCCTGCCAGAGCGGCCAGCACCCTCCAGCACCCTCTCTGCCCGAGCAGCCAGCACCCTCCAGCACCCTCTCTGCCCGAGCAGCCAGCACCCTGCGCTCCTGCTCGCCCACTAGTGAGTTACGGGTAAGTTAGAACCGTGGTCGGCAGACTGCGGCTCGCGAGCCACATGTGGCTCTTTGGCCCCTTGAGTGTGGCTCTTGCACAAAATACCACGGCCTGGTTGAGTCTATTTTGAAGAAGTGGGGTTAGAAGGAGTTTAAGTTTAAAAAACTTGGCTCTCCAAAGAAATGTCAATTGTTGTGCTGTTGGCATCAATATTTGGCTCCGTGGACGAAGGAGTTTGCTGACCGCTGGGTTAGAATAATCGGTGTCTGTTCGCACCAGCCCCGTCCGCTGTGCCTCAGACCTGGCTCCCGGGCCCGAGCAGGGGGACAGGCGCCCCCCACCACAGACAGAACCCGGGCCTGGCCCAGTGTCCGCTCCGTGCCTTCACGTGGTCTCTGCCCGCCATTCCTGCCACTGATCCCTTCCTGAACACGCTGTTCTCTCTGTGTACGACCCTGACGGCACACAGACATCCTCGGTGATGTGCCCTGCGCGCTGAGGTGTGATTACACAGATCGAACGTGCACACGCACGGCCGTGTACACGGAAACTGTTCGGATTTAAAATCCGGCTCCTGTCCGCTGGCCCGGGCGGGGACCGTCCGGCCCGTGGGGGTGGGACGCCGGCGAAGCCATCGGCCTGGCCCTGCCCCGCACGGGGGAGGGGGTGCGAGCGAGGGGGCGCCCTGGGACACGCCTGAGCGGAGGGAGCTCCTCCAGACGACCCTGGGGTCCCGGCCGCCGTCAGGAGATCTGATTGGCGGCGACCTGAGCCGTCCCAGCGGAGCGGCCGGTGTCTGGGCTGGTGACCCGCCGGCAGGGTCCGAGCCCGTCCTGCAGCCGGGGAGGCGGGTCCTGCACCCGGGGGGGCGGGTCCTGCAGCCGGGGGGCGGGTCCTGCAGCCGGGGGGCGGGTCCTGCAGCCGGGGGGCGGGTCCTGCAGCCGGGGGGGCGGGTCCTGCAGCCGGGGGGGCGGGTCCTGCAGCCCGGGGGGCGGGTTCTGCAGCCGGGGGGCGGGTCCTGCAGCCGGGGGGCGGGTCCTGCAGCCCGGGGGGCGGGTCCTGCAGCCGGGGGGCGGGTCCTGCAGCCCGGGGGGCAGGTCCTGCAGCCGGGGGGCGGGTCCTGCAGCCGGGGGGCGGGTCCTGCAGCCCGGGGGCGGGTCATGCAGCCAGGGGGCGGGTCCCGGCGTGAACCCAGAGCTGCCGGCCGCCCAGTCCCGGCAGCTGAAGGCGGCTCTGGCCCCGAACGTGGGGTCTGTGATGCCCGCCCGCCCGCCCGCCCGCCGCCCCAGAGAAGACGCTCAGACGGCTCTGATGGGACTCTTTATTGAGGGGCTCAGAGCAGGGGTCCAGGCAGCATCGGGGGGACGGGGGGGCGGGGGGGGACGAGGGGGAGCAGGCAGTGCCCAGCAGCCTCGTGGCCTCAGCCCCTGGGGGCCTCTGACCGGACGGAGGGTGGAGTCTCCTGCAGGGGCCGAGGTCCTGGAATGGACGAGGGTCCCTGTGACTCTGGGGCTGAGGGACGACCCTCCCAGCCCCTCACAGCCCCTCCCAGGCCCTCCCTCAGCCCACCCCCCGCCCCGCGCCCACACCGGCCCGGGACCCTGGGGCTGGCCCATTCCCGAGACCCCAGTGCCAGCCTTCCCAGGGGCCCGGCAGGCGGCGGGCGCTCAGGCCCTGTGCCCGGGAGAGGGGCCCCCAGGACCCCACACCCAGGACGGAGGGGGGGGGGCAGGTACCTTACCCAGGAGGCGGGTCAGCGGGCCGCGCTCACACACGGCACCTCTCTGCGGGAGGAGGGGCGGCGTGGGAGGTCACAGGTCAGCCGGGCCTGAGGGGTCCCCACTCAGGGGCTCTGCACCCCCACCTCCCACCCGCCCCCCGAGAAGCCTGGGGTGGTGGGGAGGCCGCCACGGGAGAAAGACGCTCCCAGGGCGCATGGCTTGCGGACTGGGAGTCCTGGGCAGGGGGTCGGGGGTCGGGGGCCAGGGGTCAGGGGTCAGGGGTCAGCGGACAGGTCACCTTCCATGTGGGCCGGGGTGAAGACCATCTGGATGTGGATGGGCAGCAGCTTCATGGCCTCGTTGAACTGCTCCATGGCCACCTTGTTCATCTTCGGGGTCCGGGCTGCGGGGTGGGGGATGGCAGGGGTCAGCCCCTGGACTGGGGGGGCCGGTGCCCTGCCCAGGACCAGGCAGGACGGTCACCCTGACATGGAGGTCAGCAGAGCTTAGCACCGCTCCCCAGGGCCAGACAGGGCTCCACCCACCTGTCCTCCAGGGCCCTGACCCCCTCGGCCCAGCCCCTCCAGGGCCGAGCTGGGGGTCAGGGTCGCAGGAGGACAAGGCCCCTCGGTCCCAGCCGGCCGGCCGCCTGCCCGCGACCCATGGGGAGCTCATGGGGGGCCCCCGAGAATGTCCCAAGTCTGCTCTCTGGTCGTTATGGTTACCGGGAGCCCCCATCCGTCCCCGGCCCGAGTGTGCATCCCCCTCCCCCACCGGGGTGTCTGTCCCCACAGTCACGGGACCCCCCACCCCCTACCCCTCGGCTCTGGGACCCTCCCCTCCAGGCTCCGGGACACACACCACCACCACCATCACCACCCCCCACCCCCTACCCCTCGGCTCCGGGACCCTCCCCTCCAGGCTCCGGGACACACACCACCACCACCATCACCACCCCCCACCCCCTACCCCTCAGCTCTGGGACCCTCCCCTCCAGGCTCCGGGACCCTCTCCCTGCCTCCAGGATTCCCCCCCCCCCCCCCCCCCCCCGCCGGCTCCGGAGGCCGCACCCAGGTACTGGCAGGCCAGGCTCTGCTTGGAGGGGCCGGCGTTCTCCAGGCACAGGAAGGCAAAGTTCTCGTAGTCGGTGTCCAGCACGTGCACCTTGCTGTCCCCCAGGCCTGGGGGGGCCGGGCGGGGAGCGGGTCAGTGTGGGCTCTCCTCTCCGGCAGGAGGGAGGTGGCTGGCCGGCTCCCCCTGTGAGCCGACTGGCCAGGACCGGGAGCGGCTCCCACCCCCTCCCGCCACCTCCCCACCCGGCCCCGGCCACTCCCCTGCCGGGCCTGGCCCAGGGGCCTGAGCGCCCTCCGGCCAGTCCAGCTCAGACACCACTGGTTCCAAGGGGCCCACCCGCCCCGTGTCCCGGTTAAGAAATGGGGGTGGGCCTGGCAGGTTTGGCTCAGGGGTTGAGCATCAGCCTGTGGACTGAAGGGTCCCGGGTTCGATTCCCGGTCGGGGCACAGGCCTGAGTTGTGGGGCTCCCTCCCCGTGGGGGGCGGGCAGGAGGCAGCGGATCCACGATTCTCATCATGGATGTTTCTCTCTCTTTCTTCCTCTCTTCTCCTCTCTGAAGTCAGTAAACTGTGTTTTAAAAAGGAGGACAGAGGGGTTTCCGTGCGGATCTGAGCTGAGGGGGGGGGGGGGGGCGGCGTCCAGTCCGGCCGGTGGAGGCCCCGGCACACGTACTGTTGATCTTGAACTCGGTAGGGACCTCGGTTTTCTCCGCGAAGATCTTGGTCTGGACACAGCTGCCGTCCTCCCTGGAAGACAGGTCCCAGAGCCGCCTCAGGCTCCGCCGTGAGGGCCGCCCAAGGGCGAGGCCCGGGGCCCAGGCGGGGCGGGAAGAGGGGCCCGCCCGCCCCGGGGCAGGGGGAGGGGCTGGGTGCCCTCGGTCGTGCTCGGCCTTGACCTGCGTTCTGGCAGTGATGGCTCTGGGTTCCACCCTCCCCGCCCCAGCTCTCTCTGCCCCCTTCCCCTCCAGGGGCAGCCAGGGCCCTGCGGGAGGGCCCAGACCCGATCCCGCCACCCTGACCAGCAGCCTCTGCACACAGGCCTCTCCCCACACTGGCCCCCGGCCGCTCCGTGGGCCCAGAGCCGTGGGCAGGGGCCAAGGGGCCCAGCTCTGCCCCTCGACCCCCGACCCCTGACCCCATGCTGCCCACAGGAAGCCGAGTCCCCTCAGGAGCCCTGCCCGCCCCTGTCCTGGAGCCCGGCCCCTCCCGCAGCTGGGACACCCACCATCTGTGCATCATGATCTCCATGTCGGCCTGGGCCGAGGGCCTCAGCTCCTGGACGTACAGCCTCAGGGGGGCGCTCTGGGTGCTGAGCAGGGCCAGGTCGCTGGCCGCCATGGCCACGGAGTACCAGGTCCCGGCCATCTGGGGAGGGGCCGTGAGCTCACCAGGGGGTGGAGGGGGCGGGCGGGGACCCCAGCTCCCAGGGGGCTCTCGTCCCACCCTCCTGGCCAGTGGAGTCCTGCCGGTCCCGGCTCCCCAGGCCGGCCTGGGGGTGGGGCAGGGTCCTCAGGGCACTCACTGACACCCCCCTGCCCCCCGCCGCTGTGGGGTCCCCCCTGCGGAGCCAAGGGCCGTTCTGGCCAAACTCCTCTCAGCCCTGAGAAGCCCGGAGCTGCTCCACGGGGAGGGGGAGGGGGGTCTGGGGCGACGTGGCTGGGATGAGAAAAGTGGGGAGGCGGGGGGCCGGGAGGGCCTGCATGGTGTCCCCCCGAATTCGCCTGGTGCAGCCCAGCCCCTCAGAGGACCGTGAGGAGGCGGGACCTCTGCCCAGCAGCGTGGCTCAGAGGTTGAGTGGTCCCGGGTTCGATCCGTGGCCAGGGCGAGCTGGTTCTGATCCCCGGGGGGGACAGGCAGGAGGCAGCTGCTCAGTGGTTCTCATCATGATGCTTCTCTCTCTCCCTCTGCCCCCCCCTC